CGCCAGGGGGCGCTGCGGGCGCGGAGCGGGCGCGGGGCGCGGAGCGGGGGCGCAGCCGGGCCGGGGGCTCCGCGCTCCGGCTCCTCTGCGGCCGCGACCCCCCCGCAGCCCCTCCGCGCCCCGCAGTCCCGTGGGTTCGGTCTCTCGGACCGGCAGAAGGGAAGGCTGCGCTCCCACGGTGATGCGCGGGGCTGGGAAGGGGGGGTTTTGTCCATGTGTTGATTTGGGGGGGTCCCGAGGATGTTTGGGGTGCGGGGGCAGAGGGACGGTTCTATCTGCGGGATTTGCGCTGCATGCTAGGAACTGCGTGTTGTGGACAGGGTTAATAAAATAATAATTCTACCCTCCTGAGGTGGCCGGGGGGTGTTGAAGGGGTGCGGAGCGGCCCCGGCTCGTTCCTGTGGGGTAAAGGAGGGGAGGAGAAAAACACATGCACAAAAAGGGGGAAAAAAAGGAAAACCCGCCCGCACCACCCAGCGGCCCCGCGCGGGGATAACAAACTCCAACTTAAAAAAACTTCCCGAGCGCGTCGGGGGGCGCGGAGGAGGCGGCGCTGCCCAGGTGCGGGTCGGGGCAGGGCCGGGGGGTCCTGGCTGCTCCCCCCGCCGCGGGACGCGGGGAGGGGACCCGAGCTCCGACCCCTTCCCCACCGCTCCCTTCCCCACCTGGGACTCGCTTTGCGCGGCACAGCCGGACCCAAGGGGGGCTTTTGTTGCATCCTGGCAGCCGGAGGGGGCTGCGGGTGTGTGTGTGTGGGGAGAGGGTGAATCTGGATGGTGTTGGGGAGGAGACAAAGGGGTTTTTCCGAGGCCGGGGGGGAGTCGGAATTTCGGTAAATTCTCCCCGGTGCAGAGGGGAAACAGTGGCTCAGGAGAGGGGCTTCAGCGGGCTGCGGGGTGAAGGAAAGCAAGGGCACAGCAACTTTATAATCGACTTTTTATTAAGGTTATAAATTTAAACAAATCTGAACAGTTTTACCCGGTGATATACAATTCCATATGCACAAAAATACAGGCTTACAAACAAAGAAAAAGGAGCAGAAAAAAAAAGAAGACCCCAACAGACCGTTTGGCAAAGCATCCTCAGTTACACACAGTGCTGATACCGTGAAGTTGGGAGTGGGCAAAAGAAAGAGGAGGGGACGACGACCAGAAAACCCACCTTTTTACAACAAAAGGTTTTTCTTTAAAAAAATAATGTAAAAAAAAAAAAAATCAAAAAAAAAAAAAAAAAACAATCTCTTCACAAGACCAAACACTGCAAAAAAAAAAAAAAAAAAAACTAAAACCAGAACAGTTAAACTTAAGGAAAAAAAAAAAAAAAAAAAA